GTGGGGGGGGGGGGGGGGGGGGGGGGGGGGGGATTGACAGTTCCGGTGGAAGGGACGTCACTTTAAAACGTAACATGGATGCAGCCATTGGCTTGTCTTCATGCTCGGTCTAGCTAAAACTTGGATTTTTCTCCGATTGAGAATTGACGGTTGTTCGTCCGTGGAAGATGCAGAAACTGTAGCTCTTCGTGTGATTCTTTGTGGGTTGTTCAGAGCTTCAAGATTAATTTTGACTTTCGCCAAATGAGAGCATCCTATTAAGTATGATCATGTTATTACATGATGTTAGGTGTGGATTGTGCAATTTTGTTCCTTGTAGAAGGAATAAAGTTGTCCAAGACTTAGATCTCATTTGTGGTTGATTTTGAGAATTGATTTTTTGACCATTAAGAAAAAAGTGGGGTCTACTTGTCAGAGAAAAAGTCAAATATGATGATTGAAATAGTGAAATAACGGTCAAAAAATTACTTCCAAACAAGCTGTTAAGCTCTTGATTGAGCTTCAGTCAAAATTCAATTTTAACTTTAAATCTAAATTCAATGCTTTTTCTGTTTTTTAAATCACATTCTCTAATTTTTTACTGTTTTAAAACACATTTTCTTGAAAAATGGAGCCCAGACGGGAGTAAGTCTTTCATTATCTTTGATAGTATCTAGGTGTTGGATTGATAGTATTTCTTATCGTATTTTAATAAAGTTAATAACTTACCATATTTGTCTTCATGCCCACGAGCCAAAAAGGAGTGCACTCGATTGACTGTGGATTTGTATGGTACAATAGATTCATTATATGTTGGAAGCAAACGAAACACGCATACTCATTTCATTTTATGCAATGTCAAACATTTATGCAACAAAGCAATAAAAAGTTGAGATTAATGATTACTGCATTTTGCACGCATGCAAACACGAACACAAGGAAAAAAAGAAAAAGAGATCCCAACATAATAATTTGTTCCATACAAATCGTCATAATTTGCCAAACTTTTAAAATCATAATTGATTAGGGGCATGATTTCTCTCTAATACTATGTGATAGGTGTTATGAATAAAAAGTGGTTCTAATAAGGTTTCCTTTTCTTCAAGGGAATATAATCTTCGTAAAGTAACTTTTAATTGAATACACATTGATAAAATGTTAGTAAAGGGAGAACATAATAATCAACATGTTTGTGTTGCAAGTGTAAATATCCCAAATGCCAATATGTAACTTGACGAAGTATCGAGAAACGTGTTTGTCTTCTCACTTGATAAGAAGTGATGTCATGAAGTATTGAAATTGTATTGAAAAAACAACAAATAAAATATACAGTTCGGGACAAGAGCTCTTAGGGGCGTAGTATTTTTAGTACTATTATTCGGACAAGACTTTAATTTCTTACTATGTTTCTCATGGGGTGGCTTTGTTGGTGGAGTTGGTTAGCGTGGAGGCCTTTCGTTACGAGTTCGATTCCCCCTGCTAACACTTTCTCGGTCGAGCTTGTTGTACCGAGCTTGTCTAGTACAGTTTACCTCATTGGCGTGGTTTGCAGGCTATTGATTCAGCCCGAGAGTTTACTTAGTGCGTATCCAAAATGTAGCGATTGCGGGTTCCCCCATCATCAAAAAAAGAAAAAAGAAAAATGTTCAACCTATCAAATATTCAAGCTGTGCATTCTCTTACATGAACCAGACACAGGCCAATACAACTATGCACAGTATACCTTAAATTTGTAGTCTCAAAAGCCTTTTCTAATTACTTTTCTATAAATAAATATTTTTTCTATTTAATAGATTTTCATTAATCTATTAAATACCATCAAATTCCAAGAAAACAATAATACAGATTGTTGTATAGTAAAAGAACTGATCGTATAGTATTGTACTAGGCAAATGATCAACAAGGCCCACATGACTAGGAAATATCATAGGAAACTTGAGACAATATAATTAATATCCCATCCTAGATCCACTCGACAATTGATGTGTACTAATTATTACTCTATGCTGCTTTCCTGGAAAAAGTACTGCTCTTGGTCTCCCTCTCACACACCCAGGTGTACAAGTGGGACGAATCGCTCAAGCTCGAGAGCGCTCGACATGCTTCAAGTTTCACTCGGGCTTCGACATGACTGAAATAGGCTGCTTGTGAAGGTGGGCCACATCGGAGTTGTGTCTAGTCCACGGCCAAAATGCTCATATATTTTCTACTGTGGGCTTAGCCGAGGTACTGATCGCACGATTACCCCAAAGGGCGATACTATTCACCACTGCTAGATTCATAGGCAGACCCACGTGGGGTCAAGTGACCCCACAAGTTTTTTTTTAAAGAAAATTTGTAGTCGTTTTTACGGGATGTAAAATGAAGTCGAAATATTGTATTCTTAGGCCCTGTTTGGCACCCATTTTTATCAAAATGCATTTTTCTCTCTCTTCTTTTCAACCACACATTCTTTATTAAAATAATATTATACGTAAATAAAAAACTTTTTCATATTTTTCAACCACACATTTCCCATCAATTTACTATTCAAAAATGCATTTTCACATAAAAATTCCTACCAAACACCCTCTTAATATCATTTCGAAGTGCTCACGATTTAGTTTTTCGCTTGTTAATGGCACGTGAAATCGTTAACTGTATTAAAAGTTACGACAAATCAAAGTAGGCCTTTCCAAACTAATATTTCGAGAATTTCGATAATATGATAATCTTAAAAATTCATCGACGATCATAGGCTAGTCGAATTCACAAATACTTACTTTATCTTGAAGCCCGTTTCGAGAATTACATCGTTGTTATTGAATTGTTGAAAGAAATATCGAAAATAATTAAATATCGAAAATAATTAAACGTATGCCAAACGTATGTTTCAATAAGAGGCGTTTAACTCATTTTTAAAATAAAAAAATTCAATTATTTAATTAACGTTTATTATTTTTGCACTAGAAAATTTTCAATATAATTTACTCACTATTAGAAAATTTTACATGGAGTATGAAGCCAAAAAAATTAGGATCGTTATATATTAAATGTAATTTTAATTACTTTTGAATTCCTTTTGCATTAGATTTAAATTTCATGTACTTCATGGATTAAAATTGGACGTTATTTCAATTCATTTACTTTCTACACAAATTTATTTACTCGTCGCCAGTACAACAACCGTCAACAAGGTGGTAAACAAAACTATACAAGTAGCAAAATTCATTTGAAAATATTGATAATGATGTAATTATACAATATTTTCAAATTATCAAAATGCGTAGTCTACAATATTAAGCCAGTACAGCAACCGTCAACAAGGTGGTAAACAAAACTATACAAGTAACAAAATTCATTTGAAAATATTGATAATGATGTAATTATACAATATTTTCAAATTATCAAAATGCGTAGTCTACAATATTAATAGTGTATTGACTTAAAAATATAAATTAAGCTCTTCGTCCATTCATTGGTAAATTTGTTGAAGTTTGCTTTAATGATATTCTGATTTATAGTGCTAACAATGATGATTATGTCCAGCACCTTCGAGAAGTTTTTTTAGTCATTCGCAGGGCTAAATTTTATGCTGCAGTGAAGAAGTATACCTTTCTAACTGACCATATAGTATTTCTGGGTTATGTGGTGTCGAAAGAGGGATTAGGAGTTGATACATCTAAAGTAGAAGCAAAAAGTTAGTGGCCACAGTCAAAGACTGTTGTAGAAGTGCTAAATTTTCATGGCCTTGCCTCATTTTAGCAAAGGTTTATATCATATTTTTATATCATATTTTAGTAGTATCATGGCGCCAATTACATATTGTATGAAGGATGGCAAGTTTCAGTGGACTCCTGAGGCAAAATGCATCTATTCAGTTGATTAAGCGGAAATTGACAATTGTCCCAGTTTTGGTGTTGCCTGATTTTACTCAGCTGTTTGGGTTGCATTGTAATGCTTCATATGTGGGCATTGGTGGTGTGCTGAGCCAGGACAATCGTCCTGTTTCATATTTTAGTTAAAAACTTTCTAGCTCTAAGTCTCGATATAGTACTTATGATGTGGAGTTCTATGCGATAGTCCAGGCGGTTTGACATTGGCATCATTATTTGTTCCATAAGAAATTCATTTTGTATACTGACCATGCCGCCCTTAAATATCTTGGTACTTAAGATAAGGTGTCTGCTCGGCATACTTCTTGGATTGCTTATTGCAATAGTTTACTTTTGCGATTAAGCACAAAGCATGTGCCCTTAACAAGGTGGTAGATGTATTGAGTAGGTGACAAACTCTTCTGACAGAATTGGGAGTGGAGGTCCCAGGTTTTAACACTATTTGCGATTTATATGTTACTAATCCATATTTTTCACAGATTATTCGGAAGTTGCAGGAGGGTATGCATTTGGAGTTTACGTGGGTCGATGGTTTTCTTTTTCGAGAAAACCAATTATGTATTTCTGAGGGTAGTTTGCGACTTAAGATAATTCAAGAATTACATAAAGAGGGCCACGTGGATCGTGATTGAACATTACAGCTTGTTGTTGCTTCTTATTTTTGGCCAACATTGCGCAAAGATGTTGGTAAGTTCATAGAGCGTTGTTGAATATGTATCTTTC